CAGTACTGTTTCTGTACCAAGGAATGTTCACCGCAATACTTTCAAGATATTGCCAACCTATATTGGGCAAAGGGATATAAAATGACGTCAATAACACAGACTATCTCCACAAAAAGGCAAGGTAACCGAGAAGCTCAGCTGAGGACGAGGCTGCGTTAACTCAGCTGTTTTGGTGGCGCTGTTGAAAAGGACGGAAAATTTCACACGCTGTTCGAAAAATAAATATTCGAGCTACTGCCTGAAAACATAGCAAGAAGAGCAAAATACAAATCTGCTGATGACAATTGCTTTTCGAAGAATATCTGCTAAACCACAGCAATCAATCCCGTTTAATATCTGTAGCTTCTGATCTCATTCAGCTAAACCAGCATGGCGCCTTCAGACAACATGCGAACATTTCACAAGCGTTTTACATGCCTGGACTTTGAAATTTTCCTAACCCTTAAAAAAATGTTCCTTTTCCACCAAAGCCCACAGAAAATTTCATTTATGAACTGTATTTATGAAGATTAGACTCCCCACGAGTCTAATCTTCTAATAGCTTAAAGAAATTTTTGCGCTTCTGCTTCTTACTCCCAGAAAATCTGTCCTTCATTCGTACAATCTACAAAAGCTTTTGCCTTTCAGCTACCTCTCCTCAGAAAATCTGCTCTTCAGTCCTTCAACCTTCAAAAATTCCATTTTTTGTATACCTAGCGCTTTTTTCTCTTAAGGAAATTTCGCCAACTGGGGGGTGTGTATATTAAATGGAATGGCAATTACTTAATATATAAGTACAAGAGAGAGTTCATTATACTGGCCATGGGTCGGGCCGGGAAGGATCATTTTACTTTTTTTCCCCGTAGCACATCCAAACAGTGACGGTCTCTCTTCTATCAGATATGTCCCTTGTAGAATTGGAATTTCAAAAGTTAAGTTAAAACTGATACTGATCAGTAAAACTAAATTAAGGCTTTATAAGTTTTCATTTACCAATTACGCAGATTGTCAATGTTGTTGTGTTTCTAATGGGATGAGACAACAACTGGCCGAGATAAAGCAAGCAATAAATGATTGGAAAGTTAATCAAACTGGAGAAAGTGAAGTGTTTCGTAAGGAGAAACAGCAGCTGGGCTTGATAGGGCAAGAAAAAATGCTACGCAAGTTAATCATACTGATGAACTCAGGTTAACTTATGAGAAGGTAAAACAGAATTCGAAAGTAAATCAAACGGAAGAACGCAGAATGCTTGATAAAGTGTTACAATGGATGACCGCGGAGTTAAAACAAGAACTAAGGGCTTCAAAAGTAAATCAAACTGGAGAACGCAGGGTGTTTGATGAGGCGTTACAACCGATGACCTCGGAGTTAAAGCAGGAAATAAGGGCTACGAAAGTAAATCAAACTGTTGAAGGTAAGGTAAAGTCAAGCTTCAGAGAGCGAAGAGTTAAAATAGTTACCGACCTGTCGAGCGCGAATGAACCTACAACACGTTACCCAGCCCTTCCGCACTAGTACAGTGTTGGGAAAAAAAATAGGTAAAAGCTAAGGCGACTGACTCATCCTTTTCCTTTTAGCATTTTGTTTTGATTATTATCATTTGTTGTATTTTAATTTAATTTACTGTACACGGCAGTTCTGTTTTTGTTCAGTACGGGATTTTAATTTCCATGCAATACGTGCGCGTATTACTTGCAACGTTATTCCAATTTTAAATTGTTGTGTGTCACTATGATGGACTAGGGTGTGAAGCTGAAGGAAATAATATGCTGGCTTTTTATTTTAAACGAGCCTGATCCTGTGGGTGAAACATTACCATTGACGGGTTTTTCCTTCAAAATGTTGATAGGCGGATATCTAGGAACAATTTAATTGACAACCATATTAACAGGAATTGAATTGGAAATGGCCTAAACAGACGTGATGGATTGTAATCTATATCCTTTATTAGATTTTTTTAAATTCTTTTTTATGTTGTATGTCATTTCCGCCTCTCCCTTTTAAATATACAATTTGTATTCAGACATTCTTATGAGAAATTTATTAACATTTTGTAAACCTGAAGAAGGCTGGTCTGGCCTACCGAAATATATAGTTTGAAAACGTTTTCACTACACGTTGTTATCAGCTGTGTAATAGTCTTTGGACTTCTGCTTTTTTTTCTCTTGATATTATAGCTGATTCGGATCTCTTTTTTCTTTAAAAGATCCAATGTTGACAGCAAGCAGGACCTTCGTCCATGACTTTTGCAATTTATTTCTTTATCCTAAAGCAACACCCTAGCCTGAGAAAACAGCCGACATTTGGCGGCGCTACCACTGGTTTCCCCACCAAATGACGACTGAGAAAGGAGCGCAGAAATTCCATACTGATGACGCGTCACTACCCAGATCTGGTAGCGCTTCTGATTGGTTGAATCAAATTTCCCACGCGGCACGACCAATTAGAAGCACAACCCAAATCTGGGAAGTGACGCGTCATCAGTATGGAATTACTACGCTCTTTTCTCAGACGTCATTTGGCGGGGAAACCAGTGGTGGCGTCGCCAAATGTCGGCTGTTGTCTCGGCCTAACAACACCCAAACAATGAATAGAACTGACTGACAACCTCTAAAACCATTGAAAAATTCTGAGCTGGTGGAGTGAAACATTGCAGGGACGGGATTTCGTTCAAAATCCTCTCGATGGATATCTATAAATAAGTTAATTGACAGCAATATTGATAAGAATTGAAGATTTTCCTCTCTGACATGTTCTGTAAACTTATATAAGTGGCCCAACAATTGCTCAAAAAGGAAACAGTTACTCAATATTGCTGCGAACACGCTGGCGAGGAGAGTGAGTGGCTTGAAATGGAAAAAGTTGCTGGAAACACCGAAATTAAATTACAAGAGTTACTACACAGCCTATCTCATGTAAGAAGCATTTTGCCTTTTCAACTGTATGATATTCACCGATTAATTAAACCTCAAAGGCGTTGGTTGGTCAAACGGTTATATAAATGGCCATAATAGTCCGGGGCCATGTGTAATCCCGTGGGCATTTCATGAACATTTTAGTTTCTTTGAAGAAATCTATAGTTTAAGAGGTGTTGAATCGTAAAAAAGTTGTCTGCAATTTTTTCAAAGTCATTTAAGATTAATTTATGCAAATTAGATTTTTGACTCGCAAAACACCGGGTACTCGAGTCGGGCTTTGTTACACATGTCCCAAAATGCTCCCATAATGCACAAAACTGTGAAAATGTTCCCTTTTAAGTCTGTTCTATCATGTAAAGTCCCTGCAATCCCTTTTCCACAGTTTTAGAATTATAACAAAAGTCGAGTGTCATTGCTGTACAAATATTAATGTTCCGTTAAGGAATGCTTAATTACAAAGCATAAATGATTAAGCATTAAGCAAAGCATTTCCTTGTCCAATAGTACTTAAATATCATGGTCTGAGTTCCAGCCTAGCAGATGGGCCTATATATGAAGGTCCTCGTCGTCACTAATATCCCCTGTTATATGCTCAACTGTATCAGTGTTACCGCTCCTGTTCGTACATTTCACTTCGCATGAACCACACAAATCAGTGCATTTTAGGTTGTGCTTCCTGCACGTACAGCTCATTGTGACGCAGATTCCTTTGCATCCACACTTGATCAACTGCAGTACGGCCTTAGGTGCAGGTGGGAGTGTGGTTGGAACCGGGTGCAGTCTATCCCCATCTTGTTGCCATCCGTGTAATATCGGGCTAGGAATGCTGGGATTTGGGTTGTCGCAAGACTTCCAAACCAATGCAACGAGATTAGCACGTCTCGTCATCTAGTGTAGAGCCGCTTTAGTAGGGGGCAGCTGTTCATCTACGTGTTGTTTCTTGCTAAAGAGCAGCCATCGGACCTCTCCTATGGTTCTTAGCTGTGTCGATGGGATGTACAACTGGCAGACAAAGCGCCCTAGCGTCATGTATATATCATCTGGGATGGTGTCGGTGGTTCCCAGGCTGGAAAATGCATCGAGTACTGATCGTTCAGCTTTCTTTAGTGTATTCCAACAAGACACTTTGCTTTTTCCACTGATAGTGCCTGTCTGATCACATCCTGAAAAAGCGTGAAAGCCAGGTAAAGCCTTCACAAGTTCTTCTCCTACCGCCTCGTAGAGTGGGCCTAGTGGAATACTTCTTCGTTTTCCTCCTGTTCCAACAATAACTGTAGTGTCTGGACAAAGTCTCTTGTAAACCCAGAGCGTCAGAACGAGTACGTCTGTATCTGGACTATGAATGGTTATGGACGTTGCTCCTCTCTGTGTGGCGTCTAGAGCATGTAGGAGCATACGAGTATCTGCTTCCTCCTGCTCACTCCTTAAATGCTGAATCGGTAGGCTATTAGAAGTCATACAGTCAGCTTTAGAGGTTACTACATACGTCGTCTGCGAGTCTTTCTTGCACTCGATAAGTTGTGCTGCAAGGAAGATAGCCAATGTCTCCTCATTCTGGCTGCAGCTCAAAAGATCCTTCATCGTGATTTTGTCAATAACCGCATCCACAGTAATCTTGTACACCACTGCTCTGCTTGTGCCCGTTCTTTTCTGGCGCGTTCCTTCTTTTAAGGAGTTTGGGATATCGTAACGGTCAAATACAACATGCACCTCGGTGGCACCTTCAGACTTAGAATCAATGACTTCTGTAAAATGGCTTGCTAGGTCACGCCCATTTCTAACCCACGGTGGCTTTCCCATTGCCTGAACGACGGCCATGGCATCAATAATGACCACTTGCCTACTGGAGGGAACTGCAGAGTGAGGTTGTACTGTAGACGTTTGTGGTTGCTGTTGGACCGGTAAAAGGCTTTCTAGGATGTTCATCAGCTTGCTCTTGGTAGCGCAGTGTCGCAAACTGCCATCAGAGAAGAAGAGTGCCCTTGGATACTCGGCTAACTCAAAGGTACTGATGGTTTCCTTTATGTCAAGATCAGGCCTTGAGAGACTGACGACTAAGAAGCGTGCGAAGAGAGCTCTATCATCCTTTAAGGGTGCGACGCCTCAAGTTGTCTTGTTTTTGTTTTTTTGCGAAGCAGACTTCCATGACTTCAGATTTGCCTTTTTCATGGGGCTCCAAACACTTAACTTGGCCTCGACGATTCTCTCTTGAGCAAATGTCTCAAACAACGCTTGGCCGATCTTATCTCGTGTTAGGACTCCCTCCTTGATGTCATCTGGCATTACCGCTTTCGTGATTATGTTCACCAGATGACGTTCCTCTGTCGCGAAAGGGTCACTCACTTTGAGAACATCCTTCAGCTTCTGTACATTTTCATTATAGCGATTTGTTATCGCATCGCTTAAATCGTGATGATGCGGTGATGAAGCTCTTTGTACCCCCAACATGTGCTCAGCTTGCGTCGCAAGTCCACTTAGTTCTGGCGCCACAAGGAACCATCTTGCCATGGCCGCTGGTTGCTGTGTTACACCTTTCAGCCCTCCCCGAATCTTCATCAACTTGTTGACGTGTTCTATGGCGTGGTCCGGTCCAATTGCACAGAAAGGGATCTCATTTTTGTTTACACAAAAGTTTCCTTGGATGAATTCATGGTGAATATCGGGATCATCGATCTTTAACCTGTGCATCTGCGCTAGATATAGTGGCACCATTCGCGCATAGTTCAGCCTGTCGTGAGCAAAGAAATACTTTGCCAAAGCCTTGAGAGATTCAAGGTGAAGGTTTCAGTCTCCCTCTCTTGATGCGCGTATGAACATCAGGATACACATCACAAACTTCATGTAGTCCCGGGCAAACTTGAATAATGGACACTGACACTCCATGACCTCATCAAATCTCAATAGCCTCTCTTGAAGGTCGTCGGTTTCCATCGCCGTTACAAGGTCTTTGTGTTTCGTCCCTATCTCACTGTATCGACCTTCCTTGCAGATGGTGTTCATTGCAACGGATGCTTGTATTACACTATCGTATACAGTCTTGTGCTCGGCATTACTTTTATCACTTTCGCTCTTCCAAAACGCCTCCATATGCAAATCGCTCAAGGCAGAGTACGTTATGCTGTGAGCTGTGAGAGCGCGCTTCATATGATTTCCTTCAAGAATCTGTCGCATTGTGGTTGAACCATACAGCCCCGCCTCTATCCATCCCTCGTCAAAGCCACTGCCATAGATTGATGCCCCAAGAGCGCGCAAAGAAGCCATTATCGTGTGCATCTCGCCAATTCGAAAAACCAGGTGGTCTAGGTCTGGGGCCTTGTGCATCTGGAGTTTCACAGCCTTCTCATATAGTTGGAGGTCAAACGTAATGACAGTCTTGTGGTTTTCTCCCATAACCACAGCCGTGATCTTCTGTGCCTGCATTAGTACTGTGAGCATCGTGCTCCACTCATGCGCCGGAGCCGCTAGAAGAGGCATCATGGAAACGGTGGTCAGCTGATGGGTCAAAGACAACACTTGAGAATTGTATGGAGCCCACGTGGGGATTTTGACTTGCTCCAACCGAGACCTGATGATTGAGTTGCCTACCGACCACGCCAAGTCATTTTGCTTCGCTTTCTTGGTGACATCACTAGATGGTGTAGTATCTAATGTGTAGCCGGAGCACTTTGGTTGCGCATTCTTAGGGATATAACACTGTAACATTTCTGTGTCAGGTATTGACTCTTGTGGAAGGGACTTGGTCCTCATAGTCGCATCAATTTCCAGTATAGTTTCAGGATCTTTAGTACGTTTTCGCTGGAACACAACCATCGCGGTTGCATGAAGTGTGTTCTTTCCGTCGGGGGTGTCTTCTGAGAAATCGGAATTGTCAACACTAAAAAAAATAAACTGGCCCTTACAGAGTTTCGGAGGTATAAAGATGTTGTGCTCACTGGAGTTGCTCAGAACAGCCTGCGCAAGCTGAGTTTCTATGCGTAGAATCCTCGCATAATTAACTGAAACGCCCAACTCATGTAGAACATCAATTACTGATTTACTTCTCATTTGCTGGTGAGCAAGGAGGCCAACCCCAACTTGCAATGGGTACTCGCGCTGGTGACGAAATGTATTCCCTTCTTCATCTAATTGAGGCACGTATCTGACTTGCCTATCAGTCTTGGTTTGGTACATAATCTGCTGCGCAAGGAGAACTGACTTTCTGTTGACATCTTCCGCTCGCTGCTCCGTTTTCAGTTCAGAAACCACACCCGAAAGTATCCACTTGAGTAATGTAAAGAGCTTGGTAGGGACATTATCTTGTGCATCTATGTCGAGCGTACCTTTAAAGTGCCAAGTATTTGCCTCCTGAATTTCTTTGCGAATTATCTTTGAGCAGTCATAAAGGACTTCAAGCTCGCTATTAATGTGAGATGACTGTTTAACGGCTTTCTCTATGGCGGCGATCTTAGCAGCAGATAGGCAAAAGCGATCGGACTCGTTTCGTCGATAAGCACTTACGAACTCGATACCATCAACATTCTCTACTAACAGCTGCCTAACAGATTTTCTACTAAGAAACCAGTTGCACAGATGATCTTGTAAGATATTCGTGTACACCTTTTGAGCGTCTTCCAGACTCAGTATCTTTCCTTTTTTTAGAAGCTCTTGGATGAGATGCAGGAATTCTATATCAGCAGCAACTTTGTTTTCTTGCTCAGAATCTTGGGCGTCAGCTCCAGCCTTATCCTCAGGCGTCATGGCGCGTATCACGTGTTTCATCCAGCAGGCACGATGATAATGCACATCTTTCGGCAAAGCATCTTTTGGTTCTATTGTGCTGGTTAAATAAACTTTGTACAAGTCATTGTGGGAGTTTACATGAACGTCCTGCTTATCGTCGTGTGACTGGCAAAAGAAACATAACTTCTTATTAAAAGTAGCTGTGGATGAAAGTAGAATCCGCTTTGAAGTTTGTTCTGTTAAACCATGGAAAACGACGGGTGTAGAAGAGCCTGTCTGCGAAGCAAAAGACGGCCTTCCAGGGAGACGTGAAAGGATTGAAGTATTTTGTGACGAAGCTGCTTTCTCGAATCTCGCTTCAGCACGTTTCAGCATAGCAGAATTTACAAGTCGTTTCCTGCATCTTGCGTGGAAAGAAGCATTATTCTGTCTTAATTCTTCTGCCGATACCCCGTCCAGTAATCTACTGATGGTAGCAAACTCATTTTCACCGTACGCAGTTCTAGAATACGCGAAGTGCAAGACACTTACATAAGCTTCTTCACTCACACTCTGAACAAGTGACTCCCTAGTTTCTTCCTGGCAAATAATGCATTTACTAAAGTCAGGCTTCTCCTCAACTCGCCTTTTTTTCGAAGGAATCTCCATGCTCGAAAAACTTTAGTCTTCTCCTTGCGAAAATATAACACACTTCTGTTTTGTATTTCTGGAATCATCTGTTGTCATTACAATGAAGAGTGTGTGAAGAATAAAAAATGTTTTAAAAATGCGCACGAGTGGTAGCCTCTCTAATTACGCTTATTGTTAGGTTTCCAAAACCCGTGATCTGGTCCATTTCTTGTCATGCAGCCATTCTTTGCAGCCGTCATTCATGGAAATTCTTATTCACAAATAAACGCGTTTCAAGCAACAAGCGAACATAATTGTATAAATATTTTCTAGGCCTGAAAAAAGTAAACACCTAATTTATTTTAATGATTGTATTGTTTTATTGTCGCAAGGTGATAATAATAAATGAATAAAACTTCATATCTTCTCGGGAAATTGGATACACAGACACCCAACTCGAGACAGAACCCTTAGAAATGGGCTCACTTGATTAAAGACCGAAAAAGAATTATAAGTTAGACTAGACATTTCTGGATAATTTCAAAGCCAAATAAGAACAATGTATTGAATCCAGATAATTCGTGTACACAGTAGTAATCGTCAGGTAAATATGCCTTCGCACAGTAATACCAAACAAGAAAGGAAGAATAACCTGCATAGCCAAATAAGGTGTTGAGTTGTAAACCACAGGAAGACCATCAAAACGCATGCTTTGTCTTACTAGATTCAGACAGGATTATAATTATTTATTATGTGGAGTCGAAGAATCGACCAAAAAATTAAAAGGAAACTTTAAAAAGGTCCAGAATTAGACTCTTAAATGCAATGGGGATGCATTTAAGATATGTAGTAAATAACTGGAGTAAAGCTATTGACCAAGTAAAGAACAAGTGTTGCTAAAATAAAACCTGGTGTTATTATCCTTTTAACATCCGTTCTATTCGCTTAGTCCTTGAAACAGTCAAAATGTGATTTCACAGCAATTTTAAATGCATTTTATTCAATTCAACAAGTTTCGAATCATACTAAAGACATTTTCTTGTCAGTCCTCAGCTGTAAAATGACGTCATATCTAATTTGCATAAAACAGGCCTACATAGCTTTCAAAAAATTGCAGACAACGTTTTGTCGATTTAATACAATTTATACTATAAGTTTCCGTAAAGAAACTAAAATGTTCATAAAATGCCCACGAGAATGATTTTTCCGACACATGGCCCCGGACTATAACTCTGATTCTCTCCCGATCGCTTGTGGAGTACCTCAGGGGTCCATTCTTGGACCTCTGTTGTTTTTGCTGTATATTAACTTCTTAGTTTTCCCTTATTTGTTGATGACACTAATATACACTTTTCAAGTAAAAACCTTAATGATCTTGAACTAATCCTAAATCAAGAGCTCCATGCAGTGGCTGAGCGGATGAAATCTAATAGACTAACTCTCAGTATTTTGAAAACTAATTTTGCTCTTTTTCATTCTAAGAGACTTAAACCATATATGCAGGTCATTAAATCTAAAAATTGATGGTGTGAACATCCAGGAAGTTTCCACGGTCAAATACTCAGGTGTCACTTTTGACTCAAACCTGACTTGCAAAAATCATGTTAATGAATTCTGCTTAGAACTATCGAAAACTGTAGGTATATTTTCCAAATTAAGGTACTATGTTAATGTTGATATACTTATTATGCTTTACTATTCCCTTATTTACCCCTTTCTTACTTATGGTATTCAAGTTTGGGGTTTCACATACCCAAACTACCTAAAACCAGTAACTACTTTGCAAAAACGAGTCGTCAGAATAATGACTTTTTCCGACCCTAGATCTCATTCTGAGTCATTGCTGAAGTCTCTCAGACTCCTAAAATTCTCTGATATAATTCATCTTGAAATTCTCTCTTTTGTTTATCAGTGGAACCATAAACTAAGCCCTTCTTGTTTTGTTAATTATTTTCACCCAGTATCTTCAATTCATTCATATAATACACGTCAATCACAGATTGATAATCTGTTTGTTAAATCTGTTCATACCACTCAATACGGCATTCGTTCCCTCAGTTACACTGGTCCAAAACTTTGGAATTCTTTATCTATTGATGTTAAGAAAATCAAGCCGTTTTCCAGTTTTCGTCAATATATCAAGAATTCTGTGATTGATGGTTATAATACTATTATTCAAAAGGTTGAGTTTGATCGTCCGGGTGAACGTAGTCCTGAATAGGACTGTTGTTGTTGACAGTGACTGACGTTTCGACAAGCTGTGCGGTAGTCATCTTCAGAGTCAAAGTGAGTTGTATCAAGTCAGTTGATGGTATTATACTCTGACCTCTGACCCTGTTACGACAGCGACTATGCCGTACACCAGAGGCACCTCTGAAACTATTGCACGTATATTACAACCTTACAATATACGTGCTGCGCACAAACCGATAACCACTTTGCGGCGACTGCTTACTAATGCCAAGGACAAAGACAAACCGGAGGACTGACAGGGATCAGTATACAAGATCAAATGCTGCGACTGCCAGGCTTCTTACATTGGTGAAACCGGCAGAAACCTAAGCACGCGACTGACCGAACACAAACGCGCGACGAGGAATGGTGACGTCAACAATCACATTGCTGAGCACCATTTAAAGACGAAACATCAAATTGACTGGGACTCTGCGACATGTATAACGTATTCTACAGACTACTATCAACGTCTTACTTTAGAAAGCTGGTTTACTAACTTAGAACAAACGCCACTGAATCGTAGCCAACAGTTACCAGCGCCGTACAAACGACTTATTGACGAGATCAAGCAAAACTGATAACTACGAGACAACAACTGGAGAACTGACAATTTGACTAACAATAGACGACTGTTTAACTCTGACAATAAACGGATCGAAACGCACCAATCACTGATTACGAGTCTTCATAGCCAATAACATCACGGCTTAACTGACAGACGACCAATAACATCGCGACATAATTGACCAATCAGATCAATAACCAGAGTATAATAACATCAACTGACGTGATACAACTCACTTTGACTCTGAAGATGACTACCGCACAGCTTGTCGAAACGTCAGTCACTGTCAACAACAACAGTCCTATTCAGGACTACGTTCAGCCCGACGATCAAACTCAACCTTTTGAAATGACTCCTGGGTTCAAACCTTTCACAGTAATACTATTATTGATTCCTAATATTTTACGATTATATTATCTTAACTACTATTTAACTAATGAAGTAATCCTTTTTATCTAAAATAACTATTTTGTATCTATATTCCTTCTACTCATATTCTTGTTTGGGTCACATACTCGGTTAGTTCCACGAACTATTTAGGTGTCCCAAGCTCTGCGCAATGAACCTATAATTTAAATCCTCTTTCTCTTCACAATCTCTCGATTTCATATTTTAAAGCACTAATTTGTATTAGTCATAATTATTCTGTGTGAGTTTAAATAAAAATTGACTTGACTTGACTAACACGCTAATAGACCTCGTTCACTATCCCGCCATCTTTGCTGCAGGGGCGTCAGTTTCAGGGAGAAAACAAGTGATAAAATTTGCCACTACGAGTATTTTGCGGTCGACTTTGTTTATTCTCTCAAACAAAACGACAATTTTCGTCTTGCATCATGTGCAGTTCGAGTTAGTACTGCTTGATGTGAGGACATCTACGGTCGCTACTGTATCCAAGGAAAGAAACAATGATCACTTCCACTGAATAATTCTCCATTATCATCTTTAAGATAAAAAGTTCTCCATTTTTGGTTGTCCACAATAAACTAAGCGGGCCGCGATTTATTGTATTGGCAGAGAATGGCAAAGTAGTTTGCCCCCTGAGAAACCACGTAACATCGTTTTCTCCCATCAGACCCCTAAAGCGCTTGCTGGTATCATGAATAAGGTTTATTCGAGTTACTGAATTGGAAACATTTTTTGTTTTAGTTCCCTGGACCAAAATGAAGACTCCTCCAGTATGTTTTGGTGCGCGAGACAACACGTTTGGCAGTTTTGTTGTTCCATCTAGTGGAAAACTGGTATCAGTAAAACTGGTCCACGTGTATGGCTATGTGACATGCGATAAAAGAAATCGCGCCTATTGGTCCTTTTGGGGCTGCTGCCACTACCCTAAAGATGTAAACGTTGTAATAACAACCTCTTTTGATAAAATTCTTTTACCGTCAAACGAGTTCTTCACTGGATTGGTGCTCAAGCGGTCTTCGATTCCTGGTTACAACTCGCTTTCTCCAGAACTGGTACTGTCGGCTGTCTCCAATCCTCTAAACGTGGCTGGAGGACAGGAGCTCCGTTTGTGGTACGGCCAAGATCTGGCGAATAGCCTTGAAGGCAACAATGGAGGAACATCGTGCTGCGATGTTTATGTTCGCTTGATATAAGGAAAGCCATGGTCAGCCATCAAAACGCATCTGCTTCAGAAAGAAACTAAACTGATCAGATGAATTAGAAATATCATCGATATATCAAAAACGATAGGAGACCCAAAACAGAGCCTTGTGGGACACCAGACGAGCTAACCTCATAATTATTTAGAATCATATAGGCTTTCTTTTGATGTTTGGGGTCCTTTATTCAGATAAGAGCAAACCCAACTATTAAATATACCCCCAATGTGTGACGGAAGGTTTTTCCACTCTGAAACGAATTTAAGGCTCAACGGGAACTCGGTGCTTGACTCACGATAAAACTGGGGAAAACTAGACTCAAATGGCAACTCGCTTGCGGGGAAGAGCCGTCACTTCTCTCGAGGTCCGGGATCAGACCACTAACTGGTACAGCAGTAGATAAAACAGGCTAAACTTGGTTCCAACAGCGTTTATCTTTCAGCGGATCAAACAGCAATAACTCGGCTAGGACTCGGCGAAATAATCGACAATCAGTAAAAACTAACTTACTTATATATGATTTTTACAACCATTGAAGACAAAAGAATACAATAGAAATATAAACAGAAATCACTTAGAGTTAAATGAAAACTAAATACAATTTCTATTTTAAACCTGAAATCTTTTGTTAC